CACACACAATTTATTTTTCGTTGTCCAATATGTTTGAGACATCAGTACCAAAAAGCTTTATTATGCTGAAAGTATTGGGCAGACTAATGCCTATATGGAGTCATTATGTTATGAGATAGGAATTGTTAAATGTTATCACAATGTAAAACAAGAACATAACAAAACTATTGCATGGTACCTTGTGGTTGATGGTACATTTGTAGACAGTAATAAACAAATTCATTTCAAATTTTGGTACTAGTAAAGGTTCAGATCTCCTCATAAAACAAAAAGATATTACAACTGATGAGAGATCTGATAGCAAAGATGCATATTTGGCTGTATACGGAATCATTAAAAAATTACCTATTTTGACCATGAGAAATCTACTACTAATAGAAAAAACATTTGTAGGCATTTCATGTAATTTATATAATTGTGATGCATTTCGCAATAATTAAAATATCAATATGCTTTAATATTTTATTTAAAAATTTACTATATTGGAAGTGCTCAAAATAAGCCATACTTCAATAATTCAGAATATTATTTATGAAATTGTTGGCTTACATGTGCTTCTATTAGATATGCACATTTAAAAGAGCAAATACAGTAGAAATCTATTTTTGTGATTTCTTTTCAAAAACAACACAAAAGGGCAATCATATATACACAAAATGTGGATTATTAGGATTACGAAAAGTATCCTTTACATCGAAGATCCAGTCGTGAGATTAACACCATAACATTCAGACTAGAGATTTGCGGTTCAGGCAGGCTCTTAAAGTGTGCGTAATCCTACTTTGAATGGAAGCCCAATACAGAAATAGAAGCAACCTCAACTGTACAGTCTTGCACAAGACAGACCTAGACTTTTCCTTTCATAGCTGTGGGGGCTCTGGAACTGTTCGCTTGCAGACATGTTGGGGACAGGCTTTAAAGAGCAATTACGTCACATACTTTACAACAGGAAGATGTATTCAAATGAACATCTCTAATAGTCATGCACACAAACCAAATCAATGAAAACAACATTATATACGATTAGAAAAATTTACAAATCCGTAATCTCAACAGTGCATAACAGCTTGTTATTTTTACCAGTCAAGCGAGAATAAATGTAATGTTGGATTCTTTATAAACTAGTCGCACACGATGGTGATTGAGTATGTTCAATTTCGATAGCAGATGTACAGGTGAAAATGAAAACAGTCAATTTAAGATTAGACATTGCAGCCACATGGTATGCGCCAAATGGGAATGTAATTAATATGCATATGCAACCTTCACCTTAGAAGCCAAGTATGCGTTGTTATTACCTAGCATAGCGTAATGAGAGGGAGTGGGTGGAACGATCGATTTCATAAAGTATCTAAATCTGATGCAACTATATTTTATTGTAACAAATTTCATATTGATTGCATTAAAGGAAATAAACTAGTAAAAGAATTGTGAATAATCTGAAAGTTTTCATGCGATCTTACATGCATGTTGGATATATACTTAGGGATGGACCAATTGAAATCAAGGGGACTAGAATATACATGTACGTGAGGTACTTTAGTTTTCACACCCATGCGCCTGAGACAGGTATTATTCGGGTAAGGTTGGTAAACATTAAAGCTTAATTGAAAATAGAAATTACATGCCCAATGGTCTGGTAACATTATTCATAATCTACTTCAATAAAAATTGTTAAAATGCAATTGTTGAATAAAGTTGAGCGCCATTCTCCTATGACGGCTGACATGAAGATAGTGAAA